TATGGCTGGGACTGGTTGGTCTGTGCATGTGACAACAATCCTACAAGCTTAACACAAAGCTGGCCTGTATGGCAGAGTGGCAAGAAAGAAGCCTTTCCTGAGAGAGTGACAAACACAGTCTCGTTTGCGTTATGCAAAAACACACCTGAAAGATTTAGATGCCAAGGGGCAAAAGGTGCCATATACAGATGAGACCAAAATTGACCTTTTTGGACTGAACTCCAAGCCAACTGTGAAGCATGGTGGCGGCAATATTGTGTTGTGGGGGTGTTTCTTTTCAGTGGGCACTGGGCACTTACTCAGGATTGAAGGGAAAATGGATCCTGTCAAGTACACCCAAATTCTTGTGGAAAACCTGCATCCTTCTGCTAGACGGCTGAAAGTGGGCAGATCGCTCACCTTCCAACACGAGAATGATGCTAAACATACTGCCAGAAGAACAACACAGTAGCTTAAAGATAAAGTGAATGTCCTTGAGTGGCCAAGTCAGAACCCTGACTTAAACCTGAAAATCTGTGTATGGACTCGATGAGAGCAGGCGATTGAAGCTCAAAGAATAAAGCTGAAAAAAGTTATTTGTTTTTTTTGTAATGGGTTTGATGATTTTCTTAATTACTGTTGCACCTTTATTTTAATTACTTGTAATAAAATGATTTATTGTATTTACTGTATCATAAATCACTCTAATCTCCTGGCCATTGTAAATCTCATAGGCTAAACTACATACTGTACCTAAAATGTGAATGAGTGATTTAAATGTAAATGATTAACATTTATACCTGCTGGCCCAAGGAAATTGCTTTATCAAGTTTTGGATTTGTTATTGCACATGTACAACACCAGCTGTGTTTTGACAAATTAGTGAACTATTAACTTTGGCTGCTCTCTGTTTTCCTTAAAGAATATACTGGGTTTTTTAAGAAGCCCATTTATAAAAGAGATTATTAAAAGGAAGAGAGAGAGCCAGAAATCCTTTTGTCAGTCTAAAAAAAAACGTGTGTACCACTACCAATTGTACATAGTGAGAGTGTATTTATTACCCAGTTCCAGCTGTGTGGCCACGGTTCAAGCCTCAGTGGAATGATTCACTCTTGGCAGAACATAAGATCATCAAGACCACGTTGGCCATCAGAAGTATTTTAAGAGCTGAATACTGAAACACAGTTTTAGAGAGTTGATACTTCAAGTCAGTGCATAACAAAAGCCTGAACATGCCAGATGATAAATATTACATGCATTCTTATTTGTTTTGGGGAACAGATGTAACAGATGTTACTTGACTTAAATAAACTCCCTGCATGGAATTAAGTATGCACATTATTTCATGAGTGTGATCACCCGCTATGCCAGGGCAGAAATTGGGTTACATATCTATTTTGTAGTGTGTGACAGTTGTCTCAGATTGTTTATGTTTTGTTTTTATGATGCCCCCTTGGCCCGTTCTCTCTTGGAAAGTAAAGTTTTACACATATTCTACCATTCTTTGAAGGATAAAGCTGGCAATATTCTGTTTGTCCTTCTCTCTTCAATAGCCTGTCTGCAGCACCTAGTCCCAAGCCAGTTCATTAAGATGTAAATCTTTAAAAACAGGTCACAAATATGTCATTAAAGTTTTTTAAAAATGGTTAAGTCATGTTCTCAAACAGCTGGGCACTGTAGTTTCTGGCAAACGTAACTCAAACAGGAGTGAACCGTTTATTTGTTGGGTACTATTTTCAGCCACAGATATGGTGCTCCAGTGGGTATTTAAAGTAGCAGGACGGTGTGTGTGGACTGCTCCAAAATAAACTACAGACATTGTAGTGAAGTGTGACAGTGTGGCTCATTGATGTGTTATTAGCTTTTGAACAACAATGGAGTCTATGGTACAGAAGAATAAGCTGTACCAGGGTTTGGATACACTGACAAAAAAAAAAAAGAAAAATATAGAATAGAGGATAAGGGACAAACTATAAAGCTGAGAATCTGGTCACATTGCATGAATACTGCTCATTTAGGTGAGATTGTCTGAGCAACATTTGGCTTTACACTTAATTTTCGCTTCACAGAGCTTCCTATAAAGTGTTTTCCTACACTGTAAATCCCCAGCTGCTCTGAGACTTCAGCTGCATCTCAGTCTTTGGTTGATTTCTCTTAAACTGTAAACACCTAAGTTACATTTAATGTTTTCGCTTCCTTTTTTCTACCATCCTTAAAAATGAGAAAAACAAATTTAAGCCTGTAACAGTTGGTGTATCTGCTCTGTGATAGTCGTGTATGTTGCTGCAATTTCTCTGGGTAAATTAGGTGGTATATGTAAGTTTTCTATGGCACCGGGGTTTCTTCCCAGTGGCAGGTGGTGATTGTCACTTGGTATACTATGAGGCTTTTATGCCTTTCTATACTATGATGTTTTTATGCAATAATATACTATTACATTTTTATGCCTTATTATAGTATGACGTTTCTTGACGTTTTCATGTCCTTACTATACGGCGTTTTTTAATGTTTTTATGCCTCGCTATACGATGAGGTTTTTATGCCTTATTATAATATGACTTTGTAATGGAGTGGCACGATGGTGCAATGCTTAGAACCGTTGCCTTTCAGTGAGAAGGTTGTGGTTTCAAATTCCAGGCTTGGCGCCTTCGTCGGTTCGTAGGTTCTCCTGCAATCCAAAGACATTCACATATGCCTTATGTTTTTATGCCTTACTATACTATGACATTTTATGCGTTATTATTCGATGATGTTTTTTAATATTTTAATCCCTTAGTATACTATGACATTTTTATGACCTTGTATTCCTTACTGTACTATGATGTTATTTGATGTTTTTATGCCTTATTATACTATTACATTTTTATGCCTCATTATACTATGACGTTTTTTGTCGTTTTTACGCCTTACGATACTGACTTCTTTTGACATTTTTATGCCTCACTGAAATATGACGTTTTTTACATTTTCATGCCTTAATATACTTCTATACTATGAAGTTCATAACATATATGAAATACTCATAGTAAAATTTAACTTCATGAAACCGACATGCTTATTAAAATTATTTGTTTGTATATGATTTTCTCAATAATTTCTTTCTTTTATATTTACTTATATAATGAACATACTGTATACTGACAGGCTTTGGGATGGATACATATTTATGTAATATATGTCTATAACATAAACTTATAATATAAACAGAATTTCTAAAATACATGTTTCTATTAGCTAGACAATATATGATATTGTTCCAATTTGAACATCCTAATAGGTTTCATATGTAATTTTTACATATATACGCTGAACTGTATATACATGTATGACTTTACTTCATATGTACATATATTTAATTTGCGTATGGGCATTTCTGAATACAAATTCAAATTTTATGTGTTAATAAACCGTTTGGTTGACAGCATTAAAAAGTCAATCTCTTTGTTTTGGTGGGGTGGTGGGATTATTGCGTCCCTACCAATGTTGAGACCAAACCTACCCCAATTGGCCAAATGAAATTCTGCTTAGGGCCTGATAAAGGCTTGGGCCTCTGGACCTACATGTGTTGTTGACAGGGAAAACTGTGTCTTGCCTTACAGTGTAAAAAGTCCAGCGTAGAGCCAGAAAGAAAGGGCAGGTATTTTCCAATAGATTCAGAAAAGTTTTTTTTATCGCTTTAACTGCCCTACATGATGTGGGGAAGGTTACATGAGTTAGATGAAATGTCACTCCAACATTTAATGCCCTCAGGAGTTATATTTCTGCAGCAAATCCAGCACCTTCACTGATACTGTGTGAAAGGGGTCACAAAGAAGGATTATGATGTTATGTGGTTCGTGGTTGAAACTGGAACATAGAGTGAAGTATGGAGTTGTTGCTGATTGTTACCTGGTTACCAGTTATTCAGCTAAATTAGTAATCCTGCTTTGTGAGACAGCCGTTCCCCCAGAGGAGATAGCTTATGTTAACTAAAGACTGATGTGGAAAATGTAGTGAAACGCAGACTGGAAGCGATTTGACAAAATGTATTGATTTTCAGCTGCACTGTTACAATCATTTAGTGTTGTTTAGTAAAATCCCGTCGTCTGAATTACACACCAACAAAATACTAAGATATTGAAGCTTTGATCAATTTTCCACATCATATTACTACGTTAAACTATGTCTCCCATCCCTAAATGTAGCTGTGAAAAGAATATAGAAATGCAAAGGCAGCAGATTTAGCTGATTTATGAGGCACCAGCTATGACTGTCATGTTTACATGATGCTGAAGAAAGTGTTTGAACCAGTCAAACATCAGAGAGGTGATGTAGTTGTAGCTGGATTTTTAAGTCAAGGAAAATGTTGGAAACATTTTGAGACAAACTTAAAAACAATAAAACATAACCTTGAAACATTTAATAAATGGTTTACAACAGAATTTAGTTTTGGGTAGATATGAAGATTTAAGTGTTAAAACATGCACGGTACATGTACAGTGTAATGTATATTATTTCATCATTTCTATGATTTTATAACCACTGTTTTACCATCATGTTTAATTATCCGTTTATACAGCAGCTTCCACTTGTGAGTGTCGACAGGAGTAATAGTTTGCAAATACATTATAAACACCTGTATCCACTTACAGCTACATTCTAGTGTTATAAACTATTTATTAAATCTTTATATGCTGCTTGTAAATGCTAAATAGGTGGGTTAAAGTGCTACCAAATAGGACATTATCTTTTATGTCATCAACATTTTAAAAAAGTCAAAGTTCTAGTTATCATTTGGAAATGTGGTTTAACAAGTGTTCTCAGCATTATCGTTAGTGATAACAGGCAATTGGTTCAGCAGAATTGTCAGTGGAATCCACCCTTCAATGAACAATGTATAAAAGAAGAAAGACAAAAAGGAGGCAGACAAGACTTCATTTCTATTGTGTTCCTTTATTACCATATTTGCGCAGATAACTTAATCAGGAAGCAAAAAATATACCAGACAATAAAGTACTAAAAATCTGAGATAGAAATAACCCCCCCAACACAAACCACCCCCACCTCCCCAGCCCCTCCTTCCTCTGCCGTCCTCTGTGGGTTTATGTGGCGTATCGCTTTGTCCACTGTTTGGCTGTTCGGTCATGTTCCGCTCTGTTAGTCGTGTACTGGGTGGCGATGCTTCCCACCAGGGGATCAGCTGAACAGACAGAAAAAAACAAAAAACAAATCAAGTTTCAAGTTAAGTTTCCTGCATGTGGGAAAAATGAAACGTAGAAAAGGTTAATTTACATTTTCTTCAGTAAGAAATTCTATAGTGTGGCGCTGATCATTGACAGTACCCTTTATTTGTAAAAGGAAATTATTTTAGGTGCTTAGGAAAAGATTTTTTTCTTGTTATATAATATTTTAAGAAATTTTACGACTGATTCCACGACCAGTTTTAAGAATGTCTTTTAAGGATCTGTTTTTACATTACAGAGTAAAATATTTGTACATGAGCAGAATCAGACAGTTCAGTCTTGACAATCTTTTGTGAGGCACAAACTTCTGTGACTAGTAAAATGTAAAAACTCCCTGATGCTTTCACTCTTACCAGCCAAATGCATTTATAAACTAAAATAGGATGTCCATATGATGCTGGGTTTCCTGTCAAGGTGTCAGCACAGACAAAACTTACCAGCATTAAGGGGGCATGAGTTTCAGATTCCTTTTGTAATACCCTGGAAATACTGTTCAGGTGCCATTTAATGAGAAGTAATTCAAATCACATCGGCACTTCCTGCCACTCTCTAAGTCATATACCTAATGTTTCATGCTGTGAGAAGTAACGCAGAAATTAAAGATTTTTAGAGAGCCAACAATGAGACAAAAAAGCAGAAAAAGCTTTTTAAACCATGACCGCCGCCATCTCCTGCTGTAACAGGCTCTGCTTTCTGATTAACAAATCAGAATCGCTCCTCGTTGCAGCACACTGACCTGACCACATAAATATTACACCTGAAACAGTTAACAACTCAACTGTCTAAACACAACGTCGATGCAGCAGTTCAGTCACTGTGAAAGTGTTTGAACTTCACTGACATGCCAGCCTGTGCGTTCTTGTCTTACCTGGGTTACAGTCTGTGAGCAGGGAGCAGATGGACAGCAGCACCTTGGAGATGGTGAGGGCGGGGCTCCAGTTGTCCTTCAGGATGTCCAGGCAGATCACCCCCTGACTGTTGATGTTGCAGTGATAGATCCTCGTACGAAAAGTTACCTGCAGACAAAAAAGCAATGCAGTTTACAGTCAGGACACGACGGTGTTTTACTAATATTATTCATTTATTTATTGTCAGATTTAACCAGGACAAATGTGCGAAAAGTGGGGCTGCAACTAACCATTATTTACACCTATTAATCTGCTGATTATTTTCATGATTAATCAATACTGGAAAATGCACATCACAATATCCTGAAGCACAGCGTGGCATCATTAAACGTCTTGTTTTGTCTGCTCATCAGTTCAAAACCAAAAATCTTCAGTTATTCTTCAGTGAGAATAAGAAAAGCAGGAAACTCTCACATTTGCTTCTCAAATGTGTTTGTTGCAGGATACTGTAAGTACTCGGCTTCATGTTAGGGGAGATATGTTTGGAAGCTCTAAATATTAATTTTCACAACTTGAAAAGACAACATCTTTCATATAAACAATGCTTAATAATGAGTTAATAAAAATACGTTTGAATACAGTTTAAGATGTCACACAAAGAAGGGTTAATAATGTAGACATTTAAATAAAAAATCTTTGTGTTATGTTAGGAGAATCTTAGTTAAAACTGGACAGTAGTTCAGTCATGCAGAGACACTGAACTTGGACCTACAGTACAGTATGTTTGCTCTGCAGGAGACCAAAGCCCTCTGGTGGCAGAAAAGAGGAACTTCAAAATGCCAGGAAACCCCATCTTGAAATCTTTCAGGTGTTGAGATTATTAAAACCAGCAGCTTCTCATTAATTCAGTACACTGACCGGAAGTGAAGCATGTGATGTATTTACAGTAAATGCACTGATATAACACTGAAATAAAATAATTTGGGAATTTGTGTTTTGAAGAAGACCTCAGCTGCAGTATATTTCAGTGTAAGTCTGCGTGAAGCATTAAGGTGCAGGTGCTTTTAGAGAAGAGGCTTGTACGGGTATTTCTGAAATCTCTCTTTTTTTTTTTTCCTACAACTTTCAAATTTCCTGCTGAGGTTTTCACGGTAATCTCTCTCTCTCTCGATCGAAATATGTTAGAGAGCTGAGAAATATGTAAAAGATCCACAGAGTTAACTTAAATGCAAAACCAACATCAGAAACAAGTGCCCCAATACATATTATTATATTGTTTTACTGACTAATATCTCTATTTTTATTACAACCATTGTTCGATCCCGCTGGAAATGAGCCTTCATAAAACAAACTACAGTGTTGTTACCATCAGAGTTTTCATTGCCTCCATAATGATCATATTTGTTACTTAATTGGTCCAAATAGTCCTGCAGGGACAAACAAATGAGCCTCTACTCGTCTATCCATTTGTTCAGACTGTGGAAAACACAGTACACTGAATGTCTCACTACAGTGTACAGAAAAAGCAGAGTTTCTGCAGATTTTTTAAGATCTTTTTAATACCACACAGAATTAAATACTATAGAACTAATGTCACCGTTTCCAGCAGACAAGAAGAAATATTCAATACTTTAGATACTATCTAAGGTCATTCTGTTTTTTTTCAGTGGTTATAAAGAATTTCAAACACCCTGCAATAAACAAGAAGAAAAGGAATATACTGATGTCTGATAAGTAGCTTTATATGGCATCTTCTTCGCTTAAAATAGTCCACAAATACTAGTACAACACTTTACTCCTGTTTGAGTATTGTTAAATGTAATGCAAGTTACATTTTTCAAAGCCGAACCTCATTACTAAAAAAAAAAAAAAAACTTCATGTCAGTTTCATATATTTTATAATTAGAGAAAAGATCATGTTTGTGCACTTTGCTGGGGTTCTAAAAAGACGTGTGGTTCTAATGCCAGTACCTTGGGGGGTTTGAAGGGGTAGTCAGGCGTGAAGGCGATGTCCAGGAAGAAGACGCCTCCCTCGTACACGGAGCCCGGTGGTCCCAGGATGGTCGACCTCCACTCATAGATGTTGTCTCCTTTTGGGCCAGCACTGCAGACAGAAACATTACCTTCTCTTACAGCAGCACAAAATCACACTGAAGCACTGGGTAGCATCCATACAGGAGATGTTTTCTCTGGTGCTGAATCCACAACCTACAAATCATCCTTTCCTTAGAAATACTATAGATTAATCTACTATTACTGTGACTGATCACACTGTCTCATCAGTAATTCTGAGGAATAAAAAACACCAGGGAAAAACCAACACAAACAAAATCTCGTCCACAAACAGAAAAAAAATGCACAAAGTAAAAAGAGCATAATTAATGAAGTCAAGGGAAAAGACAGAGGAAAGAAGACACCCACACACAGAGGAAGTGTGACAATACATCAGTGTAGATTATGTGCTGCGGTTCCCTCAAATAAACACAACTCTACGTGGGTGTTGTACTTTCTCTTCTTTCTAGACGTAAACTGACTATAAATACGACTTCCATTCAAGATCTGCTCCTCGTGTCACTTACGGGAAATTCCAACCAAATTAACACTTCGTTCAGCTGGAGTGGATGCTGTATGAAACATTTCCACAAAAAGGATCAAGGGGAAAAATATCTGTAACAGTCACATTCCCTGTGCCTTTAATTAATAACTCCAATTTGGAAATAAAACGCACTGAGACTGATACATTTCTGCAGAGTGACTGGCGGTCACAACAATTTCAGAATATTTTCTCTGTAAACGTGGAGCGGTGAAGGTTGCTTTTCCCTTGTGCCTCGTTCAGAAGATGCTTCACTTCAAAGCAAATCCCCGGTGATGTGTCTACGTGTCATGATCTGTAATCTGCATTGATTTTTCCCTCAAAGCAGCCCAGCCTTTATCCCCATCACATGCAGAATGTGGCGTTGAACCCCCGCGGGGGTCCATGAGTACAAGACATAATAGTATTGATCCAAAACTCCTGGGGGTGGGGCGGGTGGGGGGCAGAATTTGTGCACTTCTGTGTGTTTTTGATCAACGTTAACACGGGCGTTTGGCTGAGTTTCAGTACCAACTATGACATAGAAAATCGATCCAGGGAGCGCCGTTTGTCAAAAGACAAGACTGGAAATGTGATGGATGAAAACTTTCACTTTATCTGCATTTATGATTGGCTGTTCTGGGTTGAATCTGATACAGGATCAGTTCATTTTGATATCAAATAGGAAAAATGTTGTTTGATGTGCCTCAGTAGCAGCTATGAAACAAGCCCTGTCCATAAATTAAAAACAGTGTGCTGCATAATCGCGATGCAGTTGGACAGCAGTCATGACTTCACTATGAAATGTATTCAAGATGGAGTTCAAACATTAAAGTCAGCTTTTTAAAAGTTAAAGAGTTGTCAGGAGTGGAGTTGCAGAACCAATTACAACACAAATCTCACTACAGTATGACAAGCTCTCAGAGACAGGAAGTTATTTATTTATTGAGATGGATTAATTTCATATAGAGCTGAGATGATTAATTATTTAGCTAATCTACAGAAAATTAACTGTCAAGTATTGCATCACCGTAAAATGAATATCTTTAGGTTTTGGGACTGTTAGTCTGAAACGAGACATCTGTAGACGTCACTTTGGGCTTTGCCAAATTAAAATGGGATTTTTTTTCACAGTTTTCTAATTTATTGAGAAAATAATCCACGTATTGATCAAAAATGAAAACAATCATTAGATAAATAAATAACCTGTATCACAACTGGCAGTACCAACAGTGTTGCTGGTATTGTCTGATACAAGTTTCTGTATCTGTGTCTCTGGAATACACGCAGAAAAATCTGACAGAAAATGTAGAATTCATCAATTCTATTAACACCACTACAAATAAAGACATGCTGTATTCCTCTTTATGAGTGAAGGGAAGTTTGAGTGTATTTTCACATTCTGAAAATATAAGTAATTACATTAAATGCATTACAATATAATATGAGGTGCTCAATTAAACATGGCTTTTAATCCATCATGTGCTGAGGCAGGTTGTATTTTAAGCCGTCACGCTTCAGTGTTGTAATTAGGCGGCCCATTATGAATCTGCCTAAATGGCAGAAGGCTGATGCTAAAACTTTCAGTTACAGTAACTTTCAGCTGCAGTCATCCATCTTTAATCCACCATTTAAGCCATTAATTTAACCAAGAACATAATGTTAAGAAGGAAATTTACTAAGCTTTAAAAAGGTCTTACTATGCACTGTGGAACAGTTCACTACTTTTCTTTCTGCTGTTTCTGTTTCCTGCCTTGTGCAAGAATCATTTTTTGTAGGTACACATGAAGTTCTCAACAAACAAGATATATTAAAGTTATAAATTGTGCGCTACTTTTGAGCAATTAAATCCAAGAGAAAAATATAAAAACATAGTTTTAAGTAACTATTGTATTAAAAAAAAACAAAAAAAACATTAAAAACAATAATGAGCAGATTGTTGGAATCCTGTACTGAAAAACACATTTCAAAACCTTTGTGACCAACTTTCAAATAAAGCCTGTTTGCCTGCGGGGCGGCAGGTAGAGAGAACAAAACCCAATTTAACAGTTTCTGTCTGGTGTTAGTTTTCCCACTAAGAATCAGCCTGAGAAGCTGTTGTTTTTGTACATGAGAAAAAGTCTGACAACAAGCAGCAACAGTAACGACAACAAAATTCAAAGTAGAAACTTGGTTTCAAGGCTGTGACTGTGAATAAACGTGGCCCTTTCTTTCATTTAGCAGCAAATATCCAGACAGCGTTCATTTCTGTAGATGGTCTATGGCCTGAGGTTTCTTGTTTGATCTACTGAGCCATGATGGGAAAGGCTCCTCTTTTTTCTTTTCTCCTTTCTCTGGGAGGTCAGAGGTCACGCTCAGCTGCAGAACAGCAGCCTGGAGGAGCGAGGGCTTCAGTGATTTGCCTCAGGCCACTGCAGGAGGGAGGAGGACTGCTGCAATGGGAGCTTGAGCTCAGACCATCCAGTTTTAAGGATTGCCTTTGTAATCATAACACTGTAGTGCAGCTGCACAGGAGTCAGTCATACTTAAGTATTAAGTCCTCATGCGAATTACCACACGAATGTAAGGCTGCAGCTAACGCTTTACTTCAATATCTGTTAATCTGCAGATTAGGTCTATTCTAATCAATTTTTATTTAATTAATTTAATATTATTCAATTTTGTTTATTTAAAATTTCAGAAAAACTTAGCTCAAAACCCTCAAAATATTCTGTTAATTATCATGTAAGACAATCACCAATCCTGACCACACCAGACAAATCTGCAGCACACATGGCAAAGATACATCTAAAAGGGGAAATCTGTAAGAACTGGCCAACTGTTGAATTCATATTCTAAATAATAGGGGGCAGCATTTTACCAGCAAGTTTGGGTTTCCACCTGGATCGTAACAATCAAGGAAGTGCACTCTTAGGTTCTAGAGACGCAGCATGAAAAGCTGGGCTTGAGTAAAGAGTGGAGAAAAGATGCTGAGAGACGATGACTGCAAAACAGGTGTAGAGCCTATTCACAGTTTCTACTTCTTCATCCTCTCATGTTGGACTGAGGGCAGACTGGACGCCTCAGTGACTCGCAAATATCTACCAATTTTTAAACTAATATAGATGGCGACAAATGGCCTGCATCTGTTGGGCATGAGTGATAGTTTTCCAGTTCTCAATAGACTAGGAGATACTGCCCTTTTTATCCACTTTCCAAGTGATGCATAGTCTGATATATATATATATAGCTTCATACTGACCTCGCTTAACAGATCAGGCATCAGTACTGGATCCACATTTACTGCTGTTCCTCTGCACAAGCCAAACTATTTGTGTACAAACGTGTCCACACACAGCTGACAAATAAGGTGTCGATGTGACCTTATGTTACTTTACACACTGAAGAACGAGCACTATCAGTAAGAAGAGCAGGTAATCATATGAGTATCTGAGATACGACTGAGTTTACAACAACTGGTGTCCATAGAAATTCCTAATGAGTACACCAAAACTAACTTTGAGCAAAGGGTGAAACTCACCTGCAGTTTGGCGGAGGGTCCAGTGTGATGTCAGCCAGCTCTTTCTGAATCCTGCACAGAAAAACAGACCAAAAATTAGTCTCACATCATTCCCCCAATAAACACGATTATCACAAAAATCATAAATCAGAAGATGCCCTTCAACCATGAGAAAAAGAAAATAATGAGACTTATAATATACTTATAATCCATCTCTGATCTTCAGGCCATTATTAAGAAATGTGATTTACAACGTGGCAGTAGTCAGTCAATGATTTACTGTAATTTCTGCTATTGTGTAAACAGCGAACAACAATTGTGAAAGTAAGTTATAATAAGACCGAGCGAGTGAGAAACCTTCTGTTATTTTTCCAGAAGAGAAAAGGAGAAGCTTTGTGTCACTTACTATGAACACAGTATTATCTTGTGACTGTGTAGATTACGGTCTATTGAAGCTGCTTGAGGAAGAAATCATCATGTGTTTTTCATCTGTACTCAGAAATCTTCCTATATGACTGCTGAACGATGATGCAAGGAGGAAGCGCTGGAAAACACTGCTTCTTCTGAAATTTACAGTTGAATGCTCAGACATCTGATTTCCAGCTGTAATGGAAGTATCTCACTGTGGGGTCACATTTGCCTACTACTTTTGTCTATTTATTCATGAAAGAAATCAACACAATGCAACCATAGTTGTTTTTTATTATTGTTAAAAGTAGTCTTTTGTTATGTGCCTTTCTTCCCAAGAGACACGTTACCAGAGAGAAATTAGATTTAAAAAACAATTGTGATAATCTCTAATACTTTGATTGGTGGGGAATTCCGGAGCTATATTTGAATATAAAAACTGAATCATCACTAAAGAGTCTGGGGATTTTGTTTTTTACCTTTTGGCGCTGGTGGAAAGCAGCTTGGAGGTCTTGCTCATGCTGGCTTTGCTCTCCCGTTTCTTCTTGCAAGGTGTGTCCCTCTGTCTGGTTTGGCTGGAGGAAGGCGGCGATGAGGAAGAGCTGGTGCTGGCACGGGAATCCTCATCCGACATACCGGTTTGGATTGAAGAAGAGCCGGAACCTGAGGCCGAAATCAACACAGCGAAATAAGTCATCTACGTAACCACACAGCTGAAAGAGGTGCAGCAGTTTCACAATTATAACCAAAGCAGAAGCTAACTGAGCCCTCAAATGGCCACAACAGCAGATATGTTTTTTATCACAAGCAATTTTCACGGTTTAGAAAGGTTCTTTTGTTGTTTAGTTTTCATAAGGAACTGCTGGTTACCTGCCACGGCAGCTCATAGAGTTGTATGCACAGGCGCCCCAGGGCAAATTACATATGTTATTGATTTTTCAAGTGAAAAGAAGTAAAAGCAGCAAACAGACATTAAAATTCAACTTTCTTCAAACGTAATACACTGTTACCTTTTATGTCTTGAACTTAAAAATAGAAAAAACATTGAACATTAATTGTGGTATATACAAAATTTTGGCACACTGCTTAATCAGTACTCAGTAAGCCGTTCCTTGGCAGATGCTGCAGCTTGCACACACTTTTTGTAGCAGCTAATGTCTTTCTATTCTTTTTGGCTGTCTTGCTGCACACTAGGTTTAGGTAATCGTCTGAATCTTCACACTGTCATTACCAGCTATCGCCAGCAGACCATCCAATCTCCTATGGTGGTGGAATGTGGGTGGGGGTGGGGTATCTTTCTTTTTCATCACACATTTTAAATGTCAATATAGCCGATCTCCCAGCTCGGCTGTTGTCATTAACCCATATTTTATCATTTTATAAGGCAATGCAGTGATCATAAAAATACATAGTACCCAGTTTATATGGACACACAGACACTCACTGGCTATACTCTGGGTTTCGTCAGATTGCAAGGTGCATTTATCAGAGTTGTCAAATGGAAAAAGCAGCTCAAAGAGCTTGCTTTAAATTAAGGAACAGAGTCACTTGTGACTGCTGACTGAAAGCTTCAGCTTGTGTTTTTCTAAGTAGTTTCTGGTAAATTTTGATGTTTGCTTTGGATCACTGTGCTCTTTGTAGTTTGTTGAATGACTGCATTAAAACATCCAGGATTTACTGATATATATAAGAGCAATACTTTCTGTTTGAACTGTCAAGATAAGTCGACTAATTGAATAGTTAATTGACAGGAATTGCTTGTAATCAACAAACCAAGCAAGTAATCACCAGAATAATTGATAATGAAAATAATCATTAATCACAGTCCTATTTCCTGTGCTACTACCTGCTACACAACTGTACAGCAGAATATTTCCATCTCATGCTTCACAGTTGCCAAAGGAGGAGGGGGGTGGGGGGTGTTTACCAGGTACTGATTTAGTAGGTCGCCCAAACATCACAGTTACAGTTCAATTTGTTTTTTTCTTCTACTTTTAAGTTCAGGAAATAAAAAATTTAAATTAATATTTTCCGCAGGGATTGTACTTACTTTTCACTTCAAGAATAAAACTAAATATGCAGTTTGACTTTTGCATACACTGGTCTTGAGATACCTAATATACCTATAAACTACTTTCACTTTTCTCAATTAAAGGCCTTTCAAGGTTTTAAAAGTCTGTAAGTCTGTAAAAATTCATAAGGACTTAAATAAATTTTATAACCAGGTTAAACTTCCATAAATGTTTTCAAATTTCCTGCAGCTTGTCCGGGTCCAGGTGGTGTTTAATGATTAATTAATTATATTATTAGGGATTATTACAATATACAGCTGGGGATGAGTGACATAAAGATTATATAAATGTCATAATATTCATGAACTTGATTACTTATTCTAGGCCATATTATCACCCCCGGTGGTTTTCACTTTATAAATTGCATTATGTTGTACTAAAAAAAAAAACAAAAAAAAAAACTTAAAGAGGTATTTAAAGTCTTCTGGTGAAAACAGACTCTTGTTTACCTTAATATTTGAATGAAGGGTAAGTATTTATTATTACGATTGTTGTTGTTGTTGTTGTTACTTTGTCAATAAGATATATATAAAGTCACAATTTAAATGTTCTGTGATAAATTACGCTCATAATCATCTGTTCGGCTGTATGTGTGGGAGGGGGCGCTAACAAAGCTGTTTTAACGTTAGCGTACGTTTCCGTGACGGTGAACTGCCGTTAGCCGACGAGCTAGCTAGGTGCACAGTTAACCATTTCACAACTCAAGCTAAGGTCGCTATATTTTAATTACATGCTAATAAATTAAAATGATTAGTTAGTTCATCGTGGTGGTGACCCCCCCCCAAATACACAAAGCTAGTGCTGCCTACTAACCATTGCCCCCCCCTCACCCCCTCAACTCCGACACTCAGGCCCAACGACTTCACGGCTGAGACTACTTCTTGGAGCAGCGTGGGGGGGAAACCTGCTTGCTAAGCATCCTTTTCAAATGAGAGACGACAGCCGGGTGAAATCGTGATACAAATTCAAACGTAGGTTGTCTCGATTCATACACACAACACAGTGGCTGTGTGTGTTAAAACCGAGCGTACAAAGATGTATTTCAAGGCTAAATGCGACAACGAAACATTTAACGCGTCAGACAGTAGCCAAGAACGTCTCCGTTCCATCAAATAGTCGGAGCCCGTTTTCCGTGCGACCAACTAACCACCACCGTCTTGTTTGTTTTCTTGTCTTTTCAGCGTGTGTGTACCGACAAACCGACCGTCGACCTCACCTGAAAACACACACAGGCAGCAGACCGATTCGTGTACTTTGACTACACGGTGAGATATTGGCTTGAAATCGCATATTTTCTTCGCTAATAAAACTTACCCAGTCTATTGTGTCTGGACCTCCGCCACAGTCTCGGCTGGCTGGTGCCTGTCGCCCTCTGCGGAACGGAAGTAGCCTACCGCGGCTGCAGTGGGCTGAACAGCACCGGTCCTACTCTGGAAACAGCACAGCCCTACAACATGTGCGTTTAATACACATTAAATAACCTAAATACCTTTCATTTGGACGACATAACAGAACCTTAGGGTTTCTACATCTTTCTCCGATTACAATTTGACAGCACATGTGTTTGCAACAGGAGGTCGAACTTGTGAACTTTGAGTTATGGGACATTTATTTTATGTAATCTAAGCACAATAAAAGTAGAAATAACAGCCAAAATGTAATAAATAAAAAAGTAGTTTTACCGTCCAAAAACCAGTGGACTTTTAAAATTTAAAGATAATCTGGAAGGCAGTGGTGGAAAGTACTCAAGTAAAAAAAATCTGGAATACTTGTACATGAGTATTTCTGTTTTATTTTTACTTTATATTTCTACTTCACTACATTTCAGAGGCAAATGCTGCACTTTTTCCTCCACTACATTTAACATAGATTCAGACTCAGATTTTTGTGTATAAGATATATGAAAAGATTACAAAGTGAGATAATACATGTAGAGCTGAATCCATTGTTTGATTAATCAAGACTTTGATTGACAGAAAGTTCTTTGGCATCTATTTTAAGAACTATTTACATAATTTTTCATGTAAAATGCCAAACTTTTCTTTTCTCCAGCTTCACTAATGTGAGGATCACCAGCCTTTTCTTTTCATCATTTCAATCTTAATAATAATGTTGAGGGTTGGACTTGTGACTGCATTTCTCACTGTTTTCTTGTGTTTTTTTTATTTTTTAAAAACCAAACAGTAAATGGATTGATTTAAGTGGCAGATTGATACATAATCAAAATAAATAAAATGCAGCTGAAATGCACGAGTAATAATAATGTAATGATATGTAACACTGTAACACACACAGATGATACTTTACTGCATTGGATTCTGTTGTTTTTCTTTCTGTACTTTTACACATAATGGACTATATTCTACAGTCTGTTATTAGTGCTTTTACTTGAGTATAAGTTATAAGAACGTCTTCCACCCCTTAAGAAGAGTGTGATGCATTGTTTACTATAGTCAGAAGGGTTTATTTAATAGAACTTCAGCTATGACTAAGTTGCTGCATCAGTGGCCATAGAAACTGAAAAACCGCTTAAACTGACCACAAGTCTGTGAATACATCGAAGAATTACTCATAACTAACAACATGTTATTACAGCACCATGAGCTGAAAATATATATTGTATGCAGCAGCATTAGAGCACGTCCTCACACACTGAAGAGGTTAATGTGGGAAGTTTAATTTTCTGCACCCTCTGCTCCCACCATCAACCAACATTTCAAAACCTGCTTTTCTTTTTTCTTTTTTTCCATTTCTGACACAGTTACTAATAACTTTCATATGAAGACATTTGTAAGGTGGGAACAGTGTCGTGCAGCAGCTAAATGAGGCACATTAGTTACTGTTACCTACTGGTGGATACATGAGCTGAAAATGTTAACACGGGTAATCTTGTAAGACTGTGAACACTGCATTACATTTACATTTACTCATTTGGCAGACGCTTTTACCCAAAGTAACTTACATGTGACAATATTATTTTGATAATGTTTTGGCTGTGTTAGTATAGTACTGACAGTAGCATGTGCTCACCTTTCTAAAGTCTTGATTTATTCATTTCCTCTTAAGTTTCTTTAAATGGAAAGAAAGAAGAAACCTTCTTACACTTCATCTGTCTTCATGTTTCAACACTTCATTGAAGCTGTATAATTCTTACACTGTGTGAAACAGCCAAAGCCACGATGCCATGATTCACAATGGCATTAAATCACTACATCTATACTCTAACATTGTCTTGCACAAAGGCCACAAACCTTAAGGAGTCATAACACAACAGCTTGATATAGTTTTAAGATCCAGCAAAGGCTAATTCTTTTAGACAAACTGTATTACTGCAACACATCAACCTAATCCTCCCATCTAATCTTTGCCAAGTATACAGTATATCCAGTGTTGTAATTTCAGCACCCGTCATATTTATGCTTTCCCCTGGCCAATCAGAGCAGTCATTAGAGTCTAGAGTGGTGGGTTTTTGTAATGATGTTTACACCAGAATCTCAACTGGAAATTTTAAAAAAGAGCACTGGAACAAGTCAGCTGTCGTTCAGTTGAAAGGGCTTAAAAGCTTTTGCTGTATGACTAATTTATAATGCCAAAATGGCATCCTGCCAAAACATGTTGTGTTCAATGAAATCAGCATGAATAAGTCGCACGACAAAAGTCTTTTTGTTTTACACCTTTTCCCTTCCTTCTGTTTTGAATACTTTTCATATTATCTTCATCATCTACTCCTTTCAAAACCTAGCTCTCATTCAAGCACTTATTATTTTTATTATATTATTTTTTCCCTTGTGAAACACTGAATATCCTTTATTCAACAAGCAGAGAGAGAAAAGGATAAAACTAAATTTACCACAACACTGATTTTGACTAAATTTACATGAACCTTTATAAAAGAGAACCTTAAACTGTTACATTATTCTGGATTACAAATAGATTTAAAGTGTTTATTTATGTGTTTGCTTAATTTTCACTCTATTTTTACTTTACAGATGAATCACTTTGCACATATTATCAAATGGAGAGGGGATGCCAAGAAGTCTCTGTGTTTTGGAAAGTGGTAAGTACAGGTAGTTCTAACATTATAAGTAAGAACATACCTTGTTTCCCAACTGTCCTACTTCTAAATGTTGAATTTGTGTGTTAATGTTAATTTATCACAGCAGCAAAAATAACTGCTTGCTGTTCTCTGAACGAACCCTCACACTCTGTTATCAAAGACATTTACTATTTTCTTGGTTGAATATCATTTATTTAGAACAAGGGGCAGAAAATTTGTACCAAAGCATCCAACTGATGCTGATACGTCAGTAGACAAGTGAAAACAGGGAAAGTCAAAGGATCACCAGAGTCGTTAGGATTCATTGTGTGAGGACCATGAATGTACAAAATTTCATGGCAATGCATCTGATAGTTGAGATGTTTTTTTGTCTGGACCAAAGTGGCGGACCGACGACAGCACTGTCATCCCTACAGACTCACGCCGCAAGCACGGCTAAATTAATGAATTATCAGTTTAAATGTAGTCTGACACTACATTAAAAAGCTATTCACTTACAGTAATAAGAGTATGTGTCCTCACAATTGTGAAATACCCCCAGATCTGGATCTCTGCCAAAACAGAATCGCCTCTTCCTTGGCCCAAAGGTCTGTCAATCAGTAAAATTTTATGAAGATCCATTCATGAGTTTCTTAGATATGGTGTTGACCGACAGACTGATGACAACATTACACCTCCTGGTAATAAAGCAGCAGTATACTGTAGGGATGGAGCCATAATGTTGCCAAACCCAAGTGAGGCAGATAGAGTTTCTGATAAGAAGTATGTGAGCTGATGTTTCTGACTGTAAAGTTTTATAACCATGCGTGTGTGAGACATAAAAGCAGTCTTGCGGTGAGACTTGGACAGAGAGAATGGGAGATCACTGGAAAAGGTGTAAATATTTGAAGATGTAGCCAAAAACAAATCCCAGACAGAGCCGAGCGTTTTCTCACAAGCCAACCACAGTGTGTTTTATTGGGTGCTTCAGTAATACAAGTGCACAACAAACCACTCTGCAATTGCAGAGGTGGCGGGTAGCCAGTAAATATACAAGTCCTGCCTCTGTCACGGGCAGACCTATACTTTTGTGGTCTGCCTCAAAAGCCTTAGAAAAAATACATACAGTACAAACAGAATCAGAGGAAGTTAAAAAGCATGAAGGATCCATTGATGCAAACCTTCCTGTTCCATGCAGATAACATATTGATGACAAATACAAAAAAACAAACAAAAAAAAAACAAACAAGGAAAACAAAGTAAAAGCATATATTCTGCATGTTTGTTCCAGGTGCCACTAAGAAAATGAGGATACATACTGTATAGCTGGAGGACAATGCGTATGATAATTATAATATTCTGTGTTTTTTTTCTCCAATACAATACTTCCAACATTCAGATATTGGAAAATAAAAATCCCAATCTACTCTTTGTATAAAAAAGAAGCTTTCAAGTCAACAAGGAACAGAGGACATTATTTTTATTTTTTTTTGTTGTAGTTTGATTTCTTTTTTCTCTTGCTTTTTTTTATTTATTTTTTTATACACAGAAAAGGTAGATAAAATGTTGGGGGGGGGCAGAGGAGGAGGGTGATAGAAGGGCAGGTATACCGTTGCACTTAGTGAGTGTGCTTTGACAGACTAAGGGTGAGAGAGGTAGAGAGAGAGGTACAGTGAAGGGTGAGGGAGGAGGTAAAAGGAGGAGGAGGAGGAGGGGTGGTTCATGGCAGGGAGTCTATGTGGCGTATCTCTTCGTCCATTGTTTGGCTATTCTGTCATGCTCTGTTCTGTTGGTCAGGTACTGTGTGGCGATGCTTCCCACCAGAGGGTCGGCTGAAAGGCACAAAGAGAGAGAACGCGTGAGCTATTGGTGAGTATAATCACAAACCCTAGATCTGTGCTGTAACACACGGGTGAGAGACGGTTTGCAGCGACACTGTCCTCAAAATTATGTGGTAAACGTTTGTGCAACGGAGGACGTGTCACATCGCGAAAATGATCACGTTTCAAGCAGTGTTTTTGTTGGCAAGGTAATGAAAATTGTGTACATAACAAAACCCTCCTCGAGTTATTGTAGTGCACTTTTTCTCTTTTCTTTTCGGCATTTATCAGTGGTGCAAACAAACAAGAATAAATCTGGTTTTGGTTTTCCTCGTCTACCAACAGCAGAATGTCTCACAGCAGATTTTTGTTTCCATTACGACCAGCTTCTTTTTATTTCATCTTTATTTACAAAAAAAAACTTGTGAATATATTAGGTTGTTGTTCATTCCCCAACTTAATTTAAAAAAAAAAAAAAAAGGCAATTCTATATGTTCTTACATAATAACATACCACTCAATAGTGAATTTTTCTCTCTTTCCGTTGCTCTTCAAAGTTAC